AATTGAAAGATCACGTCGACCGTACTCGTGGAAGGAATGCGGAAATCTACTTCCACCATGACAACGCCCGACCTCACACTGCAAAGGCGACCCAGGCCGAGCTGGAGAAGTACGGATGGCTGATGGTCGCCTACCCTCCCTACAGCCCTGACCTCGCTCCTTCTGACTACTGGCTGTTCAGCTACCTGCAGCGCTCTCTGGACGGAAAAAAGTTTGAAACAAAGGATCAGGTCAGAAAGGAACTCGACGGCTTCTTCAAGTCCCAGCCCCGTCATTCTGGAAGGAAGGAATCGACAAGCTGCCTGAGCGCTGGCGTCGAGTAGTGGATGCATACCTCTAATCTTCAGGTTGGTTCGCTATTGAGATATTTACGAAAAAGTCGTGTATAAGAACTTATGCGACAACCTAATATTTCGGCGGCGGCGCCCGTGACGCGGACACCAGGAAGTCTTGGGTTAAGCGGATGGTTGACTATTCTGCTCGCGGTCAAACTACCCCTGGGAGCAACTTTTGTGAATTTGGTGATTTCGAGTATTCTAACGCCGACGCCCGTGGCGCGGGCGCCAGGAGGTTTCGGGTTGAGCGGATGCGATATTCGTGTTCATCGGGTAGAACTACCTCCGGAGCCAAGTTTTCAGCTAATTCTGCCCACGGAGAAAAAGTCGATCAGAAACTGGCCTGACTTCGGATGGCTGGTGCAGTAGAGGGTAAACAGTGCCGAAATTCCATTTAGCTGGCACCAAGTTCAAATAAAGTACCCTACTTAACATTTTAAAAATGTGTAGTTTTACTGGTTACGTATCTACCCATCCTTCTGCAGGCTGTGGATGGGTGTGAGATTTCTCGAGAAGAAGTGGATGAGGTGGAGAAACTGCAGAAGAATCTGTGATTTCTCAAGGAGGAATAGGTGACAAAGGTGGAGAGCCGAGAAGGGGTGTGAGAGTTCTTGAGAAGGAATGGGTGTAATGACTGCTGTCCCGCAGTAGACATCGCCGATAGGTTGATAACCAATTAGTATTTCTGAAAAGTGCTCTGAAATTGGGTAGATGTCAAGGAATAAGCGGGTGAGAGTGCTCGGATATGAGTTTTCAGATGGCCTTTCAATTAGGTGTGAGCTAGGAAAGGTCAACAGGTCACCATGGCCATCCATGATGGGATGCACATTGTCGTGTGCGTCTCCGCCCACTGAACTAAAATCTGTCATGAGGAGCTAGGGACGCGAGTTTCTTCCATAGCACTTGCCGTTCTTTCTGATTAGATGCTTAAAGCCAAGATATTAACAACTTATTTGGCTTACGTTTCGGCCTTGTGCCTTCGTCGGAGCCTGAAAAGTCAAACATAAGGTGACTTACCGCAGAATGCCCTTTCAGACTTAAGAGCAGTTCACCATAGACTAAAGGCGTCTAGAGAGGTCTCGTAGCTCAAAAGCACAAACCAACCGACCTTGAGAGAGCACGACTAGCTTTAGCTTCGACCACCGTTAAACTGACTCACTGTGGGTGGCTTCAGCTGAAAGCTAGGCGAGTTCACGGGACATGGCCACATCTTCTCTTTGCTGTCCATTTGGGGGTATTTGCTGAAATTAAAAGCGCTTCCGGGGCTTTTCGCGCCGCAATTTCAGGCTCTTGTGTTAGGATGAACACAATTCCCTGGAACTAGTCCGAAATGGCTTCCAAGTAGCGTCCGGGATTGTGATTTTCGCAAGCCATCCAAGTGCTCTTTAACCGCACGCACAAGGACGGCTCGTTTCCCTACTTATTCACTATCACATGGGAGGCAACGTATTGATTAGATCACCTCCGGCTTTATGCAATCATCTACTCTACCGAAGGGGCAAACCCCACATTGCGGGGTGTCACATGAATAGTCATAAAGGCAGTTGCGTACGAGGAAACGTTTCAAGTTGTTTGGAGGTGTTTCTACAAGCCTAAAGTCTCCTTGCAAGCGACATCTCTGCAGACTCGTATGGATCGTCCGACTCACTTCTTCCGTAATAAGCGGCAAACAAAATGGTAATTTCTTAGAAGATATCCTGTTTGTGATCCCGTGGTGTCCGGGAAAATCTTACGTAATAGTCGCGACCCCGGATAACCGTTATATGCCGCAATCAACTACAGGGAAGGCCAAAAAAAAGTCATTTTGCCTCCATGACTTTCAAGGCGCTATAAGTCACACTTTATTAGATTTTCATCGGACATTTTAACTACCATATTGAAGAGCACATTAAATACTATAATGAGACTCCGCCACAGCCTTCTGGAGAAGCGCATCGAGAGATTCGGCCGCGCGAAAGTGAGTGGGTACCGGAGTTGAGCGAGATCGTTGATTTCTCCGCCACGGTAGACCACCCTGTTGAGCTCCGCCTGAACCAAGTAATTGAGGGAGTTTAGATTAGAACCCCCGCTTAAATACTCCATCTTTTCCAGGTACCCAACGTTCTCCCATTCCAAGTAGGCGAAAGTTTTTCCAACGCCCTTCGATTAAATGTGTTGTCACCCAATCCTGTAGCAGTACAAAGTTTCCAAGAAGGTACGGGCGACGACATGAAGATGGGATATTCATCTCGAGTTGCTCGATGTAGTCAGCGCAAACCCTCAGTCTGGGGGCCCACAAAGAAAATATCGGTTCATCATTCCAGGTACGGCTGGTCCACACCATCAACCCGCGCCTTGGTGAATGGGGTGAAGATGATGTCCTGGACCGTAGCGACGTTGCCGGAGCTGCTCGATGTTTGAGGTCTTGCAGATCAAGAGTACTGGTCTCCAGGTAGCTATCCATGGGTGATTCCATTCAAGAAGTTCCGCAGCTGTTTGGAGGCCACGTGAATTCCAAAGGCGTTCTCCACTCAGGCCGCGACTGGAGATGACTTCATATTTTGGTGTACATGAAGGTGAATGGCGGCAGCCGGCTCCTGCTTATAGAGGAAGATCTTGGGTATCTTCCGCCCTGGTACTCATATCCACTTCCTCTGTCTGGGCTGCGAAAACTTCGCTCATATGTGACTCGGCCGGAATGACTTTTTTTTTGCCCCCCCTGTATATCAAGCGATTCGTGTTCTTATCATCAGAGGAGATTCTGCTTGCAGTCTTGAACATACTGTCGGTACCGCTTGCTGTTCCTTGCCAGATGCGCCAAATTATAATGAACAAGCATATCATTATTGCTCGGCTTTCAGTACCATTTGGCTCTCACCGTGTTCCCCATTAATTAAATTTGGACTTTGAGGAGAGGCACCCAGTTCTGTACAGGGTTCTCTTGGGTGAAATTTATATTGATGGACTGCTCATTCAGGAGGTGGAAACACATATCGATTTCACCTTGTGTGGTGCAAATTATGACGCAGTCATCAATATAGCGGCAATCGAGAAGAGGTTTGCGATTCAGTACGGGTTGCTCGATTCTGAACATAAATCTTATGACTAAAATCGGTGCGAGCCGTTGCCCCATAGCCAATCCACGCAGCTGCCTGTAGTATGTTCCTGACCACCTGAAGGTAGAACACCTCTAACACTCTTCCAAGATTATCATGATTTGGGAAATGGTGAACTTAGAGAGTTGGTTTGCGAGGGTGAGCGTACGTTCGCCCTCGCAAACCAACCCGTACGTAGCCTATAAAGCGGCTTCATTCGAAACATTGGTGTGAATTGATGTCATTGTCATGACCTTCGGTCATGATATCGATGATACACACTAGTACCTTGGTGCCTGCATTTTGCAATGACTCATGCAGTCCATCCAGAGGCGGGAAACGACTGTACCGCCTACCTGCGCAGGTAAATATACCGCTCTTTTTGGCTGTATATATGCCGCTCTCCGAGAGGAGCTAGGCTCAGTTCTACACTTCGTTTTCCGCAAATAGCGGGGCTCTCTCGAAGCTCTCTTTTCTCCTCTTACATAACACTATTCCAGTTAACCTCGCATGTCGAGGATACACTACAGGCCAGAGAACCCGCTGCGGACGCCCAGTTGCCCAACACTACGATAACGAACAAGTCATACTACGCCATGAACGGCTCACATACTACAACACTCATCATGCCTATGTTATGTCTTCTTTGCAATTACATTCATTTATTATAATGTACACTAACACTAATAAAACTATAACACTAACACTAACAACAACACTTATGTGGATAAAGATTAGAAGTCATAGTTGTTTACCGCGTTCCTACAATTCGTAACCACCAAACCTCATTGGACCGTGATGCATTCAAATAGTCACATCCATAATATAACCTTCGTCGGGGTCAACGTTGGGCAACTATTCGAGTAACATACCCGTATTTGTTATGTGTGCGGGGATATGGGAAAAACGAGATCTTATCGGTTGGTCCACCAGTGTTGCTTATTATAGGTCTAACCGTGAAACCGCCAGGTCCTCAGAGTTCAATTCCGCCTGGCTGAGCTTACGTGTCCTGATCAGAACATACAATACAGGACAAGCGGGCAGATCACACTTGATGCTATTGATCGTGGTTGTGGGCATGCCTGCATTTCTCGCCACATCACTCCATATTTTGTTGAGTTTTCGACATCGTTTGCAGAATGGCTCAACCTATCCACGTGCTCGAAGACACATCAGTGCAATGATTAAGAAAAGGTCGCTCCTGGTCCTACAACATATACCAGCCAACTGTTTTCGACTATCAAAAAAATTCCTCTGTCTACAGCAAAGGATTGTTGCGATGAGACAGACCACCCACTTATCACCCACTCGGCCGTTGTCCGCAGTATAATTTGACACCCAACTTCATTGCCAATAAACGACTGTATGAAATGTGTGGCGTGCCGAAGGATTCAAGAGGAATACGAACTATCGAACAACAACAACGCAAAACACTGAGACAAAACGTGACCAGATGTATGCTTGTCTGAAGAAGTATGTTACTGAAGAGATGTGTGGTGAACGGATCGTGCCGAAACGCCTTTGGCAGAAAATAGTGGGTGGGTCTGAAAAACATTAGTGATTAGTGAACATTAGTGATTTGGTGCATCGAATGGTTGGCAATTTACAAGTTCCTCACGAGCGCCTACGGCATAGACCAAATGCAGAGTGGCGGGGAATATCCATGGCAGGACGTTCAAACGAAAGAATCCTTCCTCTACCGTTTCCTTGCATAATCTACAAGCCCCAAGAAGGTGACCCCATCGTAGGGACCGAATTCAGACTGTTTGCTATTTCTCTTTAGAGTATAGTACGACAGTATGCTGTTGAACGCGCAAACCTTAACATAACCTTCTCGGAAAGGCGAGGTATGAAAGAGGTACGAGGTCGTCTAAACGGTAAGTATCTGTCCATTTAGCAGTATCTAGTATTTTATAGTAAGCGACAAGGAAGGAGAGTTCGTAGTCCTAAAGCAAGGGCTTGATAGAGCAATCACTAATCTGCATCTAGACAACACACTACATAATATTGCATCAACAGAAAAACAACCCTATAAACAATGTCGAAGACTCAAAAAAATATGGACTGATGTGGCGAGAATTGCAGGGCTGCCCAGAACTACAAACAATAGCATCAGGTGTGATCGGCCAGTTTGTCCTGTATTCTGTGTTCCGATCAAGACACATAAGCTCACCCAGTCGGAATTGAGCTCTGAGCACCTGGCGGTTTCACGGTTAGACCTATAATAAGCAACCAATAGGATCGCGTGGCTCTCTAACATAGTCTCACATTAGCAAAACTGCTCCCATATCCCAGCCCACTTGGCGTGGTCCGCGATCAGGAAACGTAGTTGAAAATATGGGCGTTGGGAGGGTAATGTGGTCCGCAGCGAATAATCCTGTACCGATTTCGCGGCAAAAAGTGTAAGGGAGGGGAGCTATAACGCAAAATAGGTTCAGTGGCGCCTCCTTAATTCCAGTGATTCCGCCTCCAGACTCCGCCTCGAAGGCCCTCCTTTTAGTGGAAAAACAAATCTGCAGGACGTAAAAGTAGAAAGTCATCACTTGTACGGTCGTAGAGTTCATATCGGGGAATCAGCTGTGCGGATGAGGGCTCCATGTTGAAGATGGAGTTAATTGAGCGCGCACAAACTGGGATCGAGCATCTCGCATGTTTTTTTCTGCCTTCTTCTTCACTGCCGAGCTACTCAGCACCTTTCATCTGTATGCAAACCCCTAATCCGCCACTGAGATGGCGTATGATCGCGGGGTTTGCCTTTAACAAATACGGGCATGTTACTCGATTAGATGTGCAACGTTAACCTCAACGAAGGTTGTGATATGGAGACATTCGATGTGACATCACTTAACACCAACGTTTCGAATGAAGCCGCTTTGGAGGCTTTCTACGAGTTGTTTTGCAAGCATGAACATACACTCATCCTCTTTGGGTTCCCCATTTCCCAAATCATGAGTCTTGGAGGAGTGTCAGAAATGTTCAAATGAACTTATCTATCATACATACTACAGGCAGCTGTGTGGATTGGCTATGGGGCAACGGCTGTTTTGGTCACAAAATTCATGTCCATGAACCCGTATTGAATCGGAGACCTCTTCTCCAGTGTCGCTATATTGATGACTCTCTCATAATATGCACCACACTAAGTAAAATATATATGCGTCATCGCTCTGTCAAGCACTTGTGTTGAGACTACAAATTCCCTTCCCCTGTGAATGAGCAGTTCAATATAAATTTTACCACAGAAAAACCTGTAGAGAACGGGCTGTCTCTCCTAAACGTTCAAATTTAAATAATAGGGTACACGGTGAGAGCCAAATGGTACCGGAAGCCGAGCAACAAGAATATGCATGTTCATCATAATTCGGCGCATCCGGCGAGGACAAGCAAGCGGTTATTGGCAACATGTTTAAGGCATTTCATGGTCGTTCCCAGAGGATGAAAGAAACGAAAGCTGCGCTCAAAAAGATGAAGTCAGGCAAGGGAACAGGCCCGACATGGCGGCTGAAATATGAGAGTTACACTGCTGGATATTCTGCCGAATGGTTGACGAAGTTCCTCAACCAGGTCGTTGCAGAGAAGAAGATGCCCGAAAGGTGGCAAGTGAGCCCAACAGTTCCAGTCTGGAAGAAAAAGGCAGTTCTGCAGATTGCTCGAATTATCATCCAATTCGCCTGATCTCGCACAGCATGAAAATTTTCGAGCGAATTCTTGCCAGTCGTTACACCTCTCGACAGCACGGCGTTCCGGAAGAACTGATTGGGTGCGCATCCTGTATTCCAACCCAACAACTCGCGTGCGATCGTCAGCCGCCTTTTCGATGACAATCCCCATCACTGTAGGAGTCCACCAGGGCCCTGCATTTCCACGCTCTTCTTCGTCGTCGTCATGGATGCCATTTCACGACAACGTCATACGCCAACTCTTTGGATGCATCTCTATGCTGATGACGCGACCTCGCCTGTGAGGATAAGAATGGTCTCCAGCAACTGCTGCAAACTTGGTCTGAGCGCTTGGCAAGCTTCGGACTCAGATTGAACATAATGAAGACTGAGTTCCTGACAACCGGCCCAAACAAACGCTGTTCTCTCAGAGTCGGCGACAAAGAGCTAACGCGTACAATGGCTGTCAGGTACCTTGGGAGAAGAATTACCTCTGATGGCAGTCCGATGGTCTCGGAAGTCAACTCGCATGTGAGTGCAGCCTAGTGCGAATGGCGCTCTATGAGTGGCATTCTTTGCGACAACACAATGCCGGAGCGCCTCGAAGCGAAGATCTATAGAGCCGTTATTCGACCCGTCGCGATATACGGCGCTGAATGCTGGCCTACGACTGAAGGTCGAAGCCCGCCTTGGAGTGGAGGTGAAAATGTTGCGCTGAACCTGGTGTCCCGCGAGTGGATCGCATTCGAAATGAAGGTATACACAAGAGATTCGGTGTAGCTCGCATAGCTGAAAAAATGCTCGATTCTCGCCTCTGATGGTACTGTCATGTACTGCGTGCGATCCCGAGACCGTCAGTAAAACTGGTCTCGAGTTCGAGGTGCCCGGAAAGCAACGTAAGGGACGCCCCAAACAGCCCTGACTAGACGCGCTGCATGCTGACTTAAAGATCGTAGGTACCCGTGCCAACAGGCATTCAATCGGGAGATGGGGCGCTGCGAAAAACCTCAGAAGCCCCTTGGTTTCAGCGAAATACACACAAATGCACAGCAAATAGAACGTGTAGCCATAGCCTTGAACTATCTCCCTTTGCTGACCTATGCGGTTTTTGACCTACATGAGGAAGATAGAGGTGGCGGTGGCGGAGTGTAGGTGGAAGGTCACAGTTAGTAGCGCTACAGTTTGGATGGCCGATCTCATGCCATCGCGGCTGAGATCAAGGTAAGCCAACTCACCCTTATCGATAGATACCGTTAAGAGGTTTGCTAGGATCTCCAAATTGTATTAGGTTCTTGTGAAGGCCGTTGAGGGGACAATCTCAATTGTTTTAGACCCTTTCAGGCCCTGATAAAGGCGAGCAAGCCGAAACGTTGGCTAATCAATTATAAAAATCTTGAACGACTCAACCTATCCACTTGTCCGCTTGTCCGTTTACTAATATTCTGCCTTTTACCTGCGATGAAAAACAAGTTTACCAAGGAAATTGCGAAGGCTCTTGGATATCCATATAACATTAACACATGTGCCATTGTGGGAAACACAAAGTGTTGAATATGGATTCGCTTACGAAAATTGGAACGAAGGGTGAGATGTTTATTGCATCGATCAAACCGTTTTCGTTTTCTACTTCTTCAACAGAAGCTCACCAGACTACGTCTAAGTGGGACCAGTTCCGGTTAGTGGCCGCATTTTAAGCCAACTTGACGATGATAACGCTAATGAAAAGGTGAGCAAAGGCAACTGTCCACATTTAAATATTCCTTCTTCGAACGATAAGTTTCCCATTATCTCGAGGATATCAGTTGTCCGTCTGTCTGTGTTTTCTAGGCTTTTCTGGCTTTCCTGGCTACGACAGGATAAACTTAATTATGAAAACGGGCAGTGCTTTAGTAAGCCACGGTTACTGATGACCTAGTGAAGTATGATAAGGAGAGATGAAAGTAGGATTGCCTTTGATAAAATAGAAAGGATGAAGACATTCGAAATGAACTGTTTGTCAAGACTTCGGTAGATCCTGATGAACTACTTCGAAACCGGTGTGTACAGTCCTCATCATTGCGGACCGGTGGAGCGTGGCAGTGCGGCTGCTTTGGTGCGGTTTGGCAAAATCGTTCTGCACCAGTTTTTCAAGCGGGCAAGTGCATTGTATATTATAGTGCGTTACTGCATTATATCCTTCGTATCACTCGTTTCCTACCGCTTTTTGTCGCATACGCGTTGCAACAAAAAAGGCTGAGAACGGCTTCAACAGTGTGCGCACTCCTTCTGACTGGCACGTGGCTGGCACGCCCCACCGGTCCGCAATGATGAGGACTGTATGTAAGAAAGAAGGGCCTATCACGTTGGGAATCTCCAGTGAGAGGGATCGTATCTGGTCGCTGGAGGGAAGAATCATGTTTGCTTTCGTGAAAACTGCCTCAGTTGATGTTTGTTTTTCGGCTGTTCCCGGTTTGGACATGCGCAGCATGGCTTCCCCTTCGTTCCGCCCTTTCCCCTGCGCTCGACAGCAGTTCTTATGGGAAAAACTGGAGAATTTCCGATAAAAGAAGACTTTGAAATGTGAGTAGTTGACAAGGTTTAGGAAGGTAGTAAGAGGGATGGGAGATGGAGAGGGCGGAGACGGGTCGCATCCCAAAGAGAGATATTCGACGGGGGTCGTGTGTTGCAAAGTTTTTCCCTAAACGGCAGAACGTGCCCAGGCAGAAGGTTGTACATTATGTCTGGTGATATCTAAAGGCTATTAATCATTCCTGAGAAAATCATTTGGTACTCCACGTGGGAGTTTTCGAAGAAAACGACATTACTCCACTAATTAAGGATGAAGACATTCGAAATATTTTTTAGTCTTTTTCTACAACAGCTCAATCAAAATGTCGCAGGGCTTGCTGTCCAACCTAATAACAAGCAAGCTAGTGACTTCAAAGGGTCTGTCCGATCGGGGTCAAAATGCAAGCTATCGCTGTGTGTGATCTTGCGGCTGTTTCCACTCCCATGTGATCCAGTAGTACATTTTAACTAACCTGTCATAAATGTGCACGAGAATATTGGCATGCAAATGGCATCACAGCACAGCTTTTTCATAACGACTTTTCGCCGTCCACCACGAAATGCCCTCGAGTCCAGGAACCGATAAAAACCGTGAAGCATTGGCCCCATCACAAAGCCGATAGCTGCCATACGGGCTGAAAGCCTCACATAAAGCGTTCGTCATATATACATATATTTATTTATTCGTAGCTATTAATTTGTCTATTTGTTTTTTGTTTAGTTTGGTCATATTAATATTTGTTCGTCTATTTATTATATACATAATTTATAAATATATAAAAAGAACTTATTTCTTTGTTTACAACCTTCTATTCTATAAAGCAGCTACTTTGTGTGTCGGTTTGTCGGTATGTATGTATGTTTGTATGTCAGCCCGTCAGCAAAATGTTTCTCGGGTTCGAACACGTTAGTTAGGAGAATGCGACCGCTAGACAAACCAGAAAGTGATTGGTGCAGATGTATCAATACAACGTTTTGATTGTGATAATGGCCCCCGCTACATAAGTCAATCATTTGGT